GCCCCAGGTACCATTCAGGGTTTTCAGTTTTCCTCCTGTTGAGTTTGAGTGGATTCTTACACGTGCCACTGCACAGAATTCGTTTTGGGCAAAGTTGGGAAAAGGAAGGATAGCTTTCTAAAGCTTTGCTGCCGTCTTGTGGAAGCTTGTTGAATCACAGCTGAATTTTGCCTTTGATTTATTTTCAGTTAAATGGTTTACGAATAAGTTCCAAACCTTTTAAAATATGGGGAACCTTCCCTGTCATCCCCCGATAATTGTTATTTTGTAGCAGCTTTATTGAGGTATATTCATGCACCATGCAAGTCACCCATTTAAAGTGTACAATGGGTTTTTTTTTGTATATTCAGAGTTGTGCAACGATCACCACAATTTTAGACCATTTCATCACCCTAAAAATAAATCCATTTTCCCCAGCCCTAGGCAGCTTTCTGTAGATTTGCCTGTCCTAGACATTTCATATAAATGGAATTGCTGTATCATGTTCAACTTCTGTCACCTAGCATGATGTTTTCAAGACACATCCATGCTGTAGTAGCATGTGTCAGTGCTTCCTTCCTTTTAATGGCCAGATATTCCATTGTATGGGTATACCACGATTTGTTCCTCAATTCATTCAACATTTGGGTTTTTTTTGGCTACTATGAACAATCTGTGTACAAGTTTGCATGTGAACACTTTCAGTTCTCTTGGGTGTATATGTAGAAGTGAGATTTCTGAGTCAAATGCTAACTTTAACTTTTTAAAAAACTGCCAGACTGTTCTGAAGTGGCTGAGCCAGTTTACATTCCCATCGTCAATATATGAGGGTTCCAAGAGTTTTATTTTTAACATCCTTAAAAACACTCCTAATACTAAGATGCAGATTTGAATTCACTGAAGCTTTTCTTCAACTTTTAAAAGAAATTGTGTAAGTACAGTAGTTATGTGTTCATTATAGAGAAATACTATCCTGAGAAGTTTAAAATCATTACCAATTATTCCACCATCCAGAGATTTAGTATTTCTAGAATACTTTATATGTGCATGGATATATTTTAGTTTTATAAAATGGGATTTCACTATATACATTTTTTCCAAATTGGTATTACCAGTGCCCTATGAATGTGTATGTTGTTAATTACAACAGTCTTCACATACTTCTGGGAAAAGGCACACTTGGTATGGGGGACATTTTATTTTCTCTGGGTATCCAGAACAGTGCTTGGTGTGAGTTTGGGTTCATGGACCCTGCAAAAACTAGAGTCCACAGGCTGGGAGCTGCTGGCTTAGCGTTTAGTTGCCTAAAAAGCTACCTTACTGTCAGTTTTGGTAAGGCACAAAATTTGTTTAATTTAACCTCTTTATCTTTTTTTAAGCACTCACTGAAAATGACCGAGACAGCCAGTCGCCATTGAAGAATCCTCTGTTGTCAACGTCAAGACCCCTGGTTTTCGGGAAACCCAATGGCACGTACCTCTTTTCATTGTTGCTTTCCTCTGGGCATACCACTGCAGTGGCAGGAGGCACCGAGGTTGCCCTCACCCCTCTTCTTGTAGCAGCCCTGTCTTTTCCCTTCATCCAATGAATTATCACCAAACTCAGTGCCTTTAGAGGCCAGAAGCGCTCTGAGTGGGGGTGTTGCTGGGTGGCTGCCCCTTGCCCCCACCAGCAAGTTCCTTCCTCCTGTTTGCTGTTTCATGCGTCCTCTTAGAGCAGAAGTCTCCCAATTACCACCAACTGGCTCTCCAGGGGACTCTCTTGCTTTCCAGTTTTGTACGGAATTCGCTTAGTGGAATTCCTCACCCCCTTGCTTCCCTCTCCTACATAGTTTCCTTTTTGCTTTCACTGAACTTATTTAAATTAAACTACATGTTGTTTTCCTTTGTTTCAAGGTGATGCAGTTGATTATCAGAAACAGCTGAAGCAAATGATTAAGGATTTAGCCAAAGAAAAAGATAAAACTGAGAAAGAATTGCCCAAAATGAGCCAGGTATGGACTTTCTTCAGTGCAGAGAATTAACTTTCTTTTAATTTTTTTTGGAGACAGAGTCTCGCTCTGTCGCCCAGGCTGGACTGCAGTGGCCTGATCTCCGCTCACTGCAAGCTCTGCCTCTTGGGTTCATGCCATTCTCCTGCCTCAGCCTCCCGAATGGCTGGGACTACAGGCACCCGCCACCTCACCCAGCTAGTTTTTTTGTATTTTTTAGTAGAGACGGGGTTTAGTCATATTAGCCAGGACGGTCTCGATCTCCTAACCTCGTGATCCACCCGCCTCGGCCTCCCAAAGTGCTGGGGTTACAGGCGTGAGTCACCGCGTGCGGCCATACCCAACCATTTTTCTATTCTTGGAATGATTGTGTAGCTAGATTCCACCTGAAGCACCTGTCCTCACATTACATATTCTCCATTTCAGCAGCAGTGTCTCAGATTACACTGAGAAACCAGGCATTACTGTTCCATTTCATTTTACATTTAGATACTGCATGGCCTTCCCACCATAGGACACGCCCTAACTTTATAGCCTTCAGCTGTTCCCAGCATTTTCCTATTATAAACTCTAGCTTAAAGATCCGTACAGATAAATCTGTACATTACTGTGTTTTTTTTTTTTTTTTGAGATGAAATTTCACTCTTGTTGCCCAGGCTGGAGTGCAATGGTGCAATCTTGGCTCACCACAACCTCGGCCTCCTGGGTTTAAGCGATTCTCCTGGCTCAGCCTCCCGAGTAGCTGGGATTACAGGCATGTGCCACCACACCTGGCTAATTTTGTATTTTTAGTAGAGATGGGGTTTCTCTATGTTGGTTGGGCTGGTCTCAGACTCCCAATCTCAGGTGATCCGCCCTCCTCAGCCTCCCACAGTGCTGGGATTACAGGCATGAGCCACCGTGCCTGGCCTGCTGTGGTTTCTTGAATTGCTTTGTTAAAGGGTGTGCACATCCTCTAGGAAGTCTACCCATTTCCAAGTGTGTGCTGAAAGTCCCAGGAATCATCACCTTGTTTTCAGAGTGGAAGGGCAGAGACTACCTTTTCTTATATTGTGTGTCTTCAAAAGTACTGTCGTTTTCTCAAAGGTCACAGGTATCATGTTAAAAAAAAAAAAAAAAAAAAAGGGACACTTCCACCCTGGTTCTGCTGCTACATAAGACTTATTTCAATTTCAGAGAGAATTTATCCAGTTCTGTAAAACTCTGTACAGTATGTTCCATGAAGATCCAGAAGAAAACGATTTGTACCAAGCCATCGCGACAGTCACCACGCTGCTGCTGCAGATCGGAGAGGTGGGGCAGCGAAGCAGCAGCTCTGGAAGCTGCTCCCAGGAGTGTGGGGAGGAGCTGCGGGCCTCAGCTCCTTCTCCTGAGGACTCGGTTTTTGCAGACACTGGGAAGACACCCCAGGACTCCCAGGCATTTCCAGAGGAGGCACAAGCGGACTGGACTGTCTCCCTTGAACATATTTTAGCTTCACTTCTGACTGAACAATCATTAGTAAACTTTTTTGAAAAGCCACTGGACATGAAATCCAAACTTGAAAATGCCAAGATCAATCAGTACAATCTCAAAACTTCTGAAATGAGCCACCAATCACAGTCTGAACTTAAGCTGAGTAACTTGTAGCAAGATAGCAGCTGCTATGCACACTGGAGTCTGCCATACCAAAGCACGGACCAGACTGTTTCTTGGGGTCAGCCCTAAACCGAGATTTCAGTCTACTTTACAAATGGGGCATCTGGATAAACAACCTGACAAACTGGCCAGGGGAACCGACACAACCCTCAAGCATTTCTATGTATTCTCTGAGAATTGTCAGCGCCCTAGGGTATCCATTGGTTCACTTGGTGCCAACTTGCAATTTTTACCAGATTGGCTGAAATGGGCACTTCTGCTGTGACGCTAGTTTGATTTTGCTCAGATAAACACGATGTATCATACTAACCAAGAAACTAAGAGAGCCCCATACTTTCATTTTTCACTTGGAATGACAATGGGAGAGGTCAGGAATCAAGTTCACGTTCAAGATCTAAGGGAGTCCACTATCTGTGCAATTGTATTTGGCTTTTTTTTGCACTGTTTCAATGCTGGTAATTGAAACCATTTTAATATATTTGGTTGTATTCACTTTATATGTCCTTCCAAAAATGTTGTGTACAAACCATGCTTTCAATGTTGGCCTCCAAGTTTTTTAATAAGAAACTTTTTGTATTTACTTGGTCCTTTTCTTTTACCTTGTAGTTAAGTGTCTTAAGCTGTAGATTGTGGCAGTGAATGGGTAAGCAGGAGACGCTGCTGCTGCCCACCCACGGTTTCTGGGTGGTGCAACACTAGGTACACTTCTCAGCCCCACCTTGGGTGTGCCCTACATCACCAGTGGGGCTTCAGAGACCTCTTTATGGCAGCATTTAACATACAGCCTGCAAATGCTGGTGAAACATAATCCCAGCAACACTGCTTTAGGACTGAACTATTAATACAAATTTTTGTTATTGATACCTTAAGGAACTTTACTTCTGAACCTTGGCTCCAGGTACAGCAGGGCCATTACAAATGAGTTAAAATATGCATCTGGTTATCTCACCAAAAATCAATTATTTTACATCTATTCAACATAGATGTAGGCAGAAACTTAAAAGACGTACTGCCACATTGATTTCATTAAATTTAAGATGCTACAAATAGTATGTCATTTTAAAGTTGTTTCCTAAAATGTTATGCCAATGGCAGATGGATTCTACATCCTGGTTTCTGGAAAAATGCTTGTCTTTGAATTAGCAAAACATACAAGTAGAATCATTAACAATTTGCCTTCAGTATCCCAACTACCCAGAACAGGGGTTCTAAAACTAGGTTGCAATTTGAAATCACCTTTAAAACCCTGCCTAGACCCTGTTCACAAATCCAACCCCAGGGGCTGGGGAGAAAGCAACACAGGCAATCAATGTGGGAAAAGCTCTTCAAATGATCCCATAAGTAGGATAGGATATACAAGCACATTATGCTGCAACTAAAAAGAACCAAAACAAAGTCAATTTTATAACTTTATTTGATGTATTTGATGATCAGCGATTAGTTCTCATCCACATTGACTGTCTGTAGATCTGTAAAGAAAATGACAGTCAACTTCCACACCCACATCACATTTCATATTTCAACTCTTAAAAACCTTTTGTAGACGGGTCTGGGCGTGTAGCATTCTATTTTCCACAACCTTTTTACATCCCAGATATGGGCCAGTTTTGCATTCTTTAGCATCTTCCCACACCAACACACAATTTTAAAAGGGTACAATGATGTGTGTCACCCCTAGCTTAACAGATGAATTCACATTTTAACAGAGGTAAGGACATTTTTCTAATGAACTTAAATGGCTTTATGGGATGGAGAACTTACTTTTGAAAGTGGTAACAGGTACATAGGTAACCAAAGTATAGAGCTTATTTGGTGAATCTTCATCCTCATTACGTTTTCTGGACAGCCGCACACGGATTCGGTATGGGACATTCCTAATAAAAACATAATTGTGTTGCTAAAGTCAATGCCTCCTTTCAACCAAGCAGCCACTAGCTGTGTTCACGTATCTCAGATCCCTGCTTCTAATGCTGTCCTTTGCTCTACTCTGACCAACCTAGAACTTACCAGTTCCCTGGAAAATGAAACATAACCCCCAGATGAACATTAAATGCTGTTACCACAGGAGGGATACCTGTTTGAAGATATGTTAAGGTAGCCACCATTGATATTCAACCAATTAATCCTACGCAGATATCTGGGTCCAAATGTGCTAGTCTTTTGTCTATCACCAGAAACTTATGTGATTTTTGTTACATTAAATTGTGAAGGCCAGGCGCGGTGGCTTAAGCCTGTAATCCCAGCACTTTGGGAGGCTGAGGTGGGTGTATCATCTGAGGTCAAGAGTTTGAGACCACTCTGGCCAACATGGTAAAACCCCCATCTCCACTAAACATACAAAAAATAAGAGCCAGGCGTGGTGGCTGCCTGTAATCCCAGCCACTTGGGAGGCTGAGGCAGGAAAACAGCTTGAACCCAGGAGCTGAACGTTGCAGTGAGCTGAGACTACACCACTGCACTTCAGCCTGGGCAACATTAACTCCATCTCAAAACAAAAAACACTGTTAAAAACTCTGCCACAGGCGCATATTCAGTTTATCTCCACATGCAATCCCCTTGTCTTATCTCATCCTCTCTAGCATCACAGCTGATTCTCTTTCCTCTATCGATCTTAGGATGTGCCGGGTATTGTTCTAGGCCCCGGATTCCTATAAACTCAGGACCTCTTTTGGCTCCTGTAATCCCATTCCTCTTATCCCAAGGCAGGCATCGGAGGACACCTCTTCTGCTGCACCCTTAAATGTCCACCCACAGAAGAGCTAGGTCTCAGGTCCCTGTCTTGTTCATCTCACTTAATCCTAAGTTTTAAATACCACACAGATGCAGACAGTCCTCCCCGCACCCGTTTCCAGAATCAAGTAGTCCACACTGTCATCATTCCTCTAGCTGCCCTTCACTCCACTTCTGTTCTGGCACCTCATGACATCCTTTAAAGCACAAGCCTCCCCTGCTTTCTGGTTCCACTTTAGAGCAGGGTCCCCCAACACCAGCACTAACACCTGCACTAGGCAACTCCATGAATTGTAGGGTGTTTAGTGTCCCTGGCCCACAGTATCCCTCAGTAGTGACAACAAAAAACACTGCCCCTGCCACAACCCCGAGGAGGACAGGTAAACTGTCCCAGGCCAAGAACCACTTCTCTCATGGTGGACTTGCCTTGCTGTCTACAGCTACCCTACATGGTCAGCCCTCACCCCTCCCTCCTCCTCCACTGGGCTCAGTCATTTATTCCACCCTACCTGCACTCACCACCCTGCTCCCAGATCCCGCCAAGCTTCCTCTCTGTGCAATGCTCTTTCCCACCCTACACTGCTGGCTCCTTCACTTGGGTCTCAGTTCATAAGCCATTAAATTAAGGGCTTCCCTGAAGATACTACCCAACCTAAGTCACAGTCACAGTATTTTTTTTTATACTTCCACGTGCACTAACCAAATTACTGAACTGATACGGGCTCTTGCAGGGTAAGTGAAGCTGGTGTCATTGCAAAAGTTCACCTTCAAATACAGATAACTTTAGCACCTTATTCCTTTGGCCCAGACAGCTTTGTTGAGCCTGGTATCAATGCGCACATCTGGAGTTCCCATCTCCTTCATGGCAAATTTCCGAATCTCTTTGAGTGCCCGAGGGGCACGCTTCTTGAAGCCCCTACGATTCAAACATAAAGTGAACAAATTAAAGGAGCACGAAATTAGGTACATGTAAGAAATCCTCAATGTCATTGATAGGCTCCTGGAAACTGACTTTAAGCAATGTCCCATTTAACAAAACCAAGTTTTTACAGCATACAGTAGGCCAGTGTGCTTCAAGCTCAGTGAGGACTTACTGTAGATGGTGTGTCCTCCTAAAACCAGCCTAAACCAAACCTTCAACTAGGCAGTAACAATCTTTTTTTCCCACCAGTGTGTAATGCCCAGCAACTAGCATAATACTTAGGACAAGAAGATGCATAATCCACTTTCTGAAATCCTCAAAATATTAAATTTGATTAAATGTCATAAGACAGGACATGTTTTTGGAACAGATCATTCAATGCTATTAACTTCATCTATGCTTAAAGAGCAGGGGCCTGAAATGTGCAGGCAGGTTTCTTCTTGAGTATGATGAGGGCAACAGTTAACTCTATGAACGCATCAAGCAAGTTCACTTCACTTAAATACTTAAACATCCAGAAGTAAAAGGTAGTAGAAATAACAGCAGTTGGCAATCCGTTCTTCACACAGCTTATGTAAGCAACCTATTGGGTACAGCTGACGGTATCTAGTACTACAGAGAAAAACAAACCAGGGAAAAGAGAAAGCATTAGAGAAAGGGGCTGCAGGTTTCTCTAAGACGGCCAAGGTGGGCCAGGTGTGGTGGCGGGCTCCTGTAATCCCAGCTGCTCCAGAGGCTAAGGCACGGAGGCGGAGGTTGCAGCGAGCCGAGATCGCGCCACTGCACTCCAGGTTGGGGACGGAGCAAGACTCCGTCTTAAAAAAAAAAAAAAAAAAAAGGTGACATTGGACTCCAGGTCTAAAGGCAACGAAGCATTTATTTGTGGAAAAAAACATTCAGGCATAGGGAAAAATAAAAGAGTAAAAATTCAACAAAGCAGCTACTTTGAAACAGAAGCATGCCCGGTATGATTAAGCGGGTCAGCCAATGTGGGATCATGGCAAGAACTCTTGATTTCTAACCTAAGATAGACCGATGCAGGATCTGAGAATAGATCCCTACGCATGTCTGGGTAGGGAAGGGAACAGGAGCAGGGAGCTGCTACTGTCAACATTCTGGTAAGAATGGGGACGGTCAGAAAGACCAACGCAGCTGGTCAGACGGTGAATGTATTCGGAAAGCAGAGCCCACAGGATTTGTTAAATTGCCAATGAATGAAATAGGGAAGGCCACAAGAGGAAGAGATTGGGGTGGAGATGATTCGGCGCATCTCTGAGAGAGACAACCAGACGCATGAGTTCGAGCCCCAGGGCGGCTACAGGGATACTCACACTCCATGGATGCGCTTGTGAATGTTGATGGTGTATTCTCGGGTCACCACCTCGTTGATGGCAGAACGGCCCTTTTTCTTCTCGCCACCCTTCTTTGCGGGAGCCATCTAAATGCAGGCGACAAGGAGGCTCAGAGCAGAGTTGAACAAGCTCAAGCCAAGTCCTCCCTCCCAGCCTCACGCGGTCACTCTCGGGGCGCTTCCAGGTGCTGAGAGTCTGGCCAGGCTAAGTCGGTCACCCAGTGGCCCACGCACCCGCGCCCCTCAGACACCTCCGACCTGGAAATACCTGCCGCCCCGGGTCCCCTAAGCCCGGACACTTTCCTCCTCAGGCTTCGGGAGCCCTTAAACGCAGCGTGTATTCCCATTTCCCACAACCGGAGACCCGGGCTAGCTCGGGAGAGATTTTGCGGTCCCAGTTAACACAATCCCAAAGGAGGATGGGGCCGGATTCCAGAAGCCCAGATTCCGCCACCCATACTCACTCTGCCGGGTCCAAGCTGGAAAGGAAGAGCGCGAAGTATTGTGGGAGAAGCAAAGCCGCAGTTGCAAGTACAACTTCCGGGTCGCCAGGCAAGGGGGTGTGGCTAGGGAAGGGGAGAGACGAGGCTGTGACGTCAGCGGCGCGCGCCGAAGTGGGGACAGCGAAAGGGCGTCGGGGCGGGGCTGCGCCTTTGGGCCGCGAGCTCGAGTCCCGCTTCTCTCTGACGGAGTCCTTCTGGCTCCGCGAAGGAACTTGCGTCTCGTGTCTAAGTCTTCGGATAAAACCAAAACCCAGGCCTACAGATGTATGGGAGCAGGGCCAGGGAGGGAGACTTTCGTTTGTTTTCCGCATTCATTCATGCATCCGACCAACACTGACTGAGCCTGAGTCGAGCGAGGTACCTGGCTGGCGGTCCCAGAGTCACTAAGACGCAGCCCGGCGTTGGAGGTGCTTGCGTCGAGCAGGGCCGGCACGGGATTGCCAGTCGTTGCTGTCAAGGGCGGTGGAGCCACAGGCCTGTCGCGTTGTCCGGGTGCATGGGTGACCGAGTGGGTTGGATATGACCCGAGAAATGACAGATGTGAGATGACACGACAGGGAGATCTGAGGAGGTCCCCAGAGAACGGGGAACTGCGTGTCACCAGCCTAGAGATTCGGAGACAGGCAGTTGGATCTGTGGACCCATGTCTTCCTTTTTCTTGACGAACTCCCTTCTTTCACAGGAGCGCACCATTTTTAGTGGTTTCGTAAGATGAGTACACAAGCTAAAAAGTTTCTGAGCCCTCAGATATCTGAGAATTTATTCAACCCTCAAATTTAAATTCTGGCTTATATGGAATTCTAAATTGAAAAGAATTTCTCCCCAGCATTTTGAAGGCAGGTTTCATTGTCTTCCATTTTTCGGTGTGGTTGAGAAGTGATGCGTTATTTTTTTCTCTCTGAAAGATTTTAGGATCTTCTCTTTAAAGCTGTGAAACTTCATGATGATGGTACCTTGAATTTAAGGGAAATTTCTCAGGACGAAAGAGCTTGATGTCCCAAGCTGAAAGGGTCCACTTAATGCCTGGCACTTTGGTGAACGGGAAAATGCCCGGACCAAGTCACCCCTAACCTACTAACAGAGTTTTCAGCAGTGGACATGTTTCAGGACCTCACAGACAAGACTGGAGGCAGGCAATTTCTGGGCTGGAACAGGGACTCTGATCTCATGAGGAACCTTTGCACCCTGTATCAAGGTAGATGTTGCACTTGTAGGTTTCCCAGCAGTCCTCAAAGGCAAGAGATGGTGTTGGACAAGCAAGCCTCCCCCTATGCCTCTTACCAGACTCCAAAGGCCTTTCCAGAAACCTCCTGTAGCTTTCTGCCTGTCATTGGCTAGAACTAGGGACTCCATTTCAGTTAGGCTGGGAGAGCACATACCCGCCAAAAGCAAATGGGATTGTCATCATTACTTTGGCCTAATGATGAGTTGTGTATTTTTTGGGCTGGGCTAGACACATTGCTTTTGTTTTTTTTTTGTTTTCTGTGTGTGTGTGTGTTTTGAGATGGAGTCTGTCTCTGTCACCCAGGCTAGAGTGCTGTGGCGTGATCTTGGCTCACTGCAAGCTCCGCCTACCGGGTTCACACCATTCTTCTGCCTCAGCCTCCCAAGTATCTGGGACTACAAGGCACCTGCCACCACGCCTGGCTAATTTTTTGTATTTTTAGTGGAGACAGGTTTTCACCATGTTAGCCAGGATGGTCTCGATCTCCTGACCTTGTGATCCGCCCGCCTCGGCCTCCCGAAGTGCTAGGATTACAGGCTAGACACATTGCTTTTAATGCACGGAAGTGGGGTTCTGTTAACAAGAAAGAAGAGGGGCTAGCACAATTTGTTTCAACCCAATGGTGCTTGCTCTCATCTCCTTTCCGCCTCCTCTTCCTCTTGCTCAGGCACCCTAAAGCCTGTCTCAGGCCTTTCATACCTCAGGGCCCTTTTCAGATCATTGTTCTGATCCTGGCTCCCTGCAATCACTCTCTGAAGATGGGATCTTGCCCCTTCTATCCCAGCACCTAGAGAGGGATTAAGGGACAGCTTTCTAGGGTACCATCCGTTAGAGGTAATAAAAGTGTTACTGTAATAAATCAGAAGTCTAGTGCCAGCTGACTCAAGTTTCCGTATAACTGATAAAATGTGAGTAGATCCTACCTCTTTTTGAAATAAATAGACCCCTCCAGTGGGAATCTACAAAACGTCCCTCTAAGATGTCAACTCTCCTGCCTCACATAAAGGTTGAACAGAGGTATAAGAAGGACTGTTAGGTTTGAGGACTGAAAATCATTTGCCTGCCTGGAGTTCTGCAGACGCTTCCAGCTTCTCTTTCCCTCCTAAGCCCCAGGGACCAGGCCAGTGACTGCTGGGCCTCAAAGAGACCAGAACCACATAATATGAACTTTGTAACTCTCTGGTGTTTGTTAGCTGGGCTAATCACTCACATGTTTTTACTTTTACTGATTAGCAGAGAATCCTTAAAATGAAACAAGATCTGAATGCTTCCCTGTGGGGGCAGCAAGAAAGTAGACAGGTTGCATTCCCGTCGACCAGCTTTAGGGGCGACAAATCTAAGGGGCTAGAGGAGTCCTCCTTGGCAGTTTCATGCTGGACTGAGCTCCAGAAAGGTCCAGTGGAACTTTCCAAGAAGCGCCGCCGAAAGATTTTTAAAAGGAAAGAGGCGTGGTGGTGAAGAGGTGCTAAAGAGGTAGTATGGGTAGCCCAGGCCTGGGAGGTCAGTGTGGAGGCTGTTTCTGTGACCCAGCTTAAATGGGGCCCAAATGAGGCAGCAACTAATATGACAGAGAGGAGAGGAATGGCACAGGAGGTATTTGAAATTAAAATCAACAGTTCATAACTGACTTCATATGGAATGTCAGTTTAGGAGAAAATGCTGAACAAAATCATATTAGAAAAGTAGACTACAGTATAATATATATTACATTACAGAAATCAATGTGATTTCATGACTGGAAATGTTTTCAGCTCCATCACAACAGGATGACCCAGTAATAGCAACAGAGGCAGCACTTGACCCAATACCAGCTCTTAGTCTTACTCTAGGCGTCTAGATTTTAATCTTTTTTTTTTTTTTTAACTAAAAGGAATCAGGACTCCTTGGAGGTAGTTGTCTCCATGCTTTGAGATAGGAAAAATAAAAAAATCAATCAGTATGGGCCTTGACTGTATTGTTCCCAGAAGGAAATCTGGAGTCTGATTTCTGACCGGCAATGCTACAAAGAGAAAAGAGCCAAACATAGGAGCCGGCTCTCACTGGCCGGGTTGTACCAATTTGAGCATGAAATAAATAACAATGGTCAATTAGAAAAGTTGAGTTCATAAAAGGCCATGAGTTCCTGTCTTCATGCTTAAAATAAAAGATGACATATAAAAAAGGTAATTGTAATTTTAAAATGAGTCAATATCATAGATGTGCCTAAGTGTGGTTAGGCAAAAATTCTACAAGAGTTGTTTTCTTTTTTGTGTGTCCAATGAGCTTTTTTCTCCAGAAAAATAAAGCTGTTTGTATGCATAGTATGAAATTCATGCATGTCTGCCCAAAAAGCTGCTAACAGGTGTCCCTAGAGGATGCAAATTAGTTATTTCTCTGAGACAATAATGGCAGACTTGGAGACCTTCAGGCTGTGCCTACACAAAGTGAAGAGGGAAACCAAAGCAGTCTTGTACCAAAACAAATGTTACCAGATAATTTAGACAAGAGTGTGAAATGTCATGGCTTAGAACAGTTGGCCAGTTCCCCGTGTTGCATGCACAAACAACATTTTAAAATTAATGTAATGAATTTTAGTTGAATTAGAGACAGTAGATACATTTTAACTTAGTTGAAAAGATCATAAACAGTGTACTCCCAGTTCACATTTCAGTCATTTCACATGAGCCAAGACTTTATAGTTTTCCAAATAGGTCATGGTCTTTCTGGAAATAGGACAGGGTTGCAAAATAGCCTTTTAATGAGCAAACTTTAATGAATCAAAAGTTTAGGGATTAAAATTCCCATGATGAGTGTGGGTTTAAAGAAATATTACACAATAAGGGTTTTCTGAGTTTATCCAAATTCTGAACACGTGTAAGATTTAAGCAAAGCTAAATCAAATTAGTAGCAAGGCACACTCTGCCCTTTTTAAATGACTTCCTGCTAGAAAATCCTAGGACGATAAATATGCTGTCCATTAAAAATATTGTTCTGCTTAAAAAAATGCTGACAGCAAATTAAAATACAAATTCTTTTACAGACAAATCAGATCTAGAAACCTTTGCATTTATAAAACATGTAAAAATAGTGAATAAAGTTTCACACAGCATTTTTAAGAAGGGGGTTCATTTCTGGTTCTTTTAAAGAGTTAAGTGTTCTAGTGTGCGCAAAATATTTTCACTTACCTTTTTCTCAGAACAATTGTATGCATAGTAAAACTTTTTGGATGTACTTATACGGCACCATCTCTGCCATCCAAAACCGATCCTAGTCAGAGAACTGGGAAGAGCCATCCGCATTCTACACGGGAGGAGTAGGAGCAGAGAGCCACAGCAATGTAGCAGGGAAAGAACTTTGCTCTCTTGGGCCGATGCTTTTGGAAAGGGCATTGCCATTGCAGTGGTTCTCAACCACAGTACACCAGGGTACCCTCCTTCAGCCCCATGAAGCCTCATGATGGGGTGGCTGTCTGTAGTTGGCAGAAATCTTCTAGATGCTGCGGCTATGCTCCCACCCTCAACATGGCATATGTGTACACATCTTATATGGAGACACACATATGCTGCCCACATCACTGATATCTAAATGTTGGTGGCGAAACCCTATGCAGTTCCAGCTGAGTGAGTTTAATGATGGGCTATAAATGAGAGCTTTGGTGGAGAATGTCTCGGTCGCCTCCATGGATTTTACCTGTGTCAAGATTAAGATGTTGGCGGGGCATGGTGGCTCACGCCTGTAATCCCAGCATTTTGGTCGGCCGAGGTGGGCTGATCACTTGAGGTCTGAAGTTCGAGACCAGCCTGGCCAATATGGCGAAACCCCATCTCCACTAAAAACACAAAAATTAGCGGGGTATGGTGGTGGGTGCCTGTAATCCCAGTTACTCGGGGGGCTGAGGCAGGAGAATCACTTGCACCAGGAGGCAGAGGTTACATTGAGCTGAGATTGTGCCACTGCACTCCAGCCTGGGAAAGAGAGAGAGACTCTGTCTAAAAGAAAAAAAAAAGATTGAGATGTTTCCAGAAACTTTTTTTCTGTTTTGTTTTGCTGTCACTTCTACAGTAAACCACTGTTTTTCTGGCACAAACTTTAATACAAAGATCAGAACCTGACAGGCCGAGGCAAATACTGCAGCTCAAAAAGCTGAACGCCTCTGCCTGACTTACTGATTGCTTGCTTTCATCTTTTCCGTATCTTTGATTATCCTTGAAACATTTTGAAATTAGAAAAAAAGAATTACTGGTGAAAAGATGTAGGCAGGGATGTATAACAAGGGACAGAGGAAATTGTACAAATTTGTTAATTTATTACAAAATTTTCACTCACAGAAAAACACAAGAAAACTTTTATACTTTTATATTTGG